CTGATGATAAAAGAACACTTAATTCCAAGTAGAAAGTGATTATAGGATCCAGTAACCTAGAAGAGTGAAACCATTTTCACCCAGGTGTGATTAAAACTAAATTCTATAGGCTACAGCACTAAAAGATGCTAACAGGCGAACAGACAGAGGGAACCAAAAATAGTTTATCTGAACCTTTGATTTCTCAATAGCTTCATTCCTACTCTTGCACCCCAGGACACATAACATAGCTATCATATCTCTTACCAAGTTCAGAGCCAAAATTCAAGAAGAAGAAGAACCTGGTGGCAATAGAAGGAATTTTATTAAAGCCTGGTAGTATTGAAGGACAGATGGCAGCTCAGAGATTTTGGGAAATCCTCAGGTGGCCAACTTCAAGTTCACTGGCCAGAGTCCTAGTCTCTGTTTACATGATCTCAAGGTAAATCTTGCTTTAAGTAGGCCACTTTGCAAGCTTTTTGCTTGTGACTTCTGCATTTATCTTTTAGGTATGAAAGTGTTTCTTCATCAAGGTTCCCTCTGATCAATATACAACAGTCACAGCTGTTTTAAAAAGACCTCTTGGTCTACATGAGCTGTTGTTGCTCTGTAGCTAGTTACAGTGACAAATTCCAAAGGCTTTCACCATTAAATCCATTTTATTTTAAATTAGAAATACTCAACTGGTTACATCAGAATCATCTTACATTCCACATGGCTCTCAATATTCCTTTCTCTGCACCATTAGGGTAATAAAGAAACCTATTTCCACTGGCAATGGGAAGGCCCCTCAGTAGCTTCTAAGACAGAATATACCTCACACATCACATATGTGCATGCTTTGCCCATACTGTGTGACCTCCAAGGTGCCATGACCAAATGACATGCAGAACCCCCCACTGCTTTCTTAGAATAACTGAAACTCAGCCCCAACTTTTTCTTTCACACCTTGATTTGCATCCTTCTAAGTTTGTTGCTGTATGTCCCTGGCATTGCAAAAAACGTGACATGCATGGCAATGGGTAGGCTCTCATTTCTGTCTCTGCTCTCCCTCCCAAAAGGTTTAGCTTCTTCTCCCGAGATAAGAAGCGCCTGGTCAGCACACAGAGAAACATGCACATCCAGGAATCCTTTGGACAATGGGCCAACACCCACCGGGATGACGGCTACACAGAGCAAGGACAGGAAGCCCTGCAGCACCTGTGACTTTGGCCTCCACCCTCTGCCCTGGACTGTCTACTGCCAGCACCCAGAACCGAACCTGCAGCCCAAGGGTCGCTGCCTCACACCTCTTGGTGCAAATGCACCCTCAAAACTGATCCCTCAGACTATTTTGAGGATGGATGTTGAAAAACTGATACCAGACTCTAAAGAAATGTTTATTTATATGCAGGGTTATCACCGTTTCTGACAGATGACTCTGATTCCTTAGGATATATATTTAATAATCCCGTGAACTGAGGCCAGACTTTTGCATTAACTTCAGTAAAACAAGCTTCTTTAAGCCAAATATATCACTTGCCACTGTAAATTGCTATTTGACTTGGTTTGCATAAAATTCTATGTGTAGAGGTTTTATTATCACGTTTGACATACTTCAGTGGAAGACAGAGAAAGGGTAGCTTTTCATTAGTTACATTCATGAAATTGTGATGACACCAGATATTGTATAGATATATCGACTGGACAGGTAGGGCCTCTGAAGTCACAGGCTAAGCTGGCACAACTTAAACACAAAGCAATGGAAAATGTGGGTGACAGCCTTCCCACCCAAAGACTGGAGACAACTTTGCAAGAGCCCTTGGTTTGTTCCAGATAATGCCTAGAGCATGTAGCAATGTTCAAGGTGGTGTGCCTTGGAATCTGCTGTGAGTTATCCAGTACTAACCAAACAAAGTTGCTAAGGATGAGACACTGCAACAGTTTTTGTGTGCATTTTTTTCCTGGCATCTTTTTATTTCCTTTTATCATTCACTTTGTCAAACTCTAGTCCCCTGCGAAGAAGACAAATATCCAAAAGCAGATGGGGGTATGAGAGCCTTACTGAGACAGGATGGTGGGTGGGGGAGATTTAGCACAGTGAGGGTGCTAAGTAGGAAGATGGCTTGAGAACCACACATCTGGCTGATTCATAAGGCTACAGCAACAAACAGAGCCATATGCCCTGCCTGCAACTGTTGAGTTGGAGGCTTGCCCGTATAACACTGTCTTTCTCACTTGAGTACCCAAGGTGCAGGGTTACATGCTCAAAGATTGAGAGAGGCAGCACCTCCTCATAGCACTCAAGTATGTCTGACAGATGGGGCTGCATTCTGCACAGTCTACTAGAGTTTGCTGCGAAACCACCGCGTGGATTTGCAGAATCTAGAACAGACTGTTTACAGATTGCTGAAAAACTTGATGAGACAGAACAATACTGCTGCTTTAGAGTAGCAGTTCGCAAACTTGACTGCCCATTAAAACTAATAGAATTTATCCTCAAGGCATATAGAAGCATGTATACTGAGGAATCCTTCCGCACTGCCAACTTTAGTTGCCCCTTCAAGAGGTAACCATTGAAGCCAGGTTCTTAGGTATCTTTCCTAAAAGTTTATGTATGACATTTATATTACATACACATATAACATGTGTGACATATGTATGTACATACATGTTACATGTATGTATAACCCTTTTTATGTAAATAGCATAATCTATACATGCAACAGTGGCTCTCAACCTAGGGTGACTGTGTCCCAGGGGACATTGGGCAATGTTTGCATTTTTCATTGACGAATGGGGGGGGGCTGCTGTCATCTACTCGGTAAAGACCAAGGATAGTGCTCAACTCCTACAATGCCCAGGCAGTCCCTCCAACAAAGAGTGACCTCCACACCAGCCCCAAATGTCAACATTGTTCAGGCTAAGGTACCCCATATTTATGATGTATTAATGTTTATCCAGGCCCCACCAGTGAACAGGTAGCTTCCTTCCACATCCTTTCCCCTCAAAAACTGTTGCACCCTTTCACACACATGCAGCTGTCCTAAGAATAAAACAGAAGCAGAAATGCTAGGTCAAAGGGTATATGCCTTTGTCATGTTGATGGCTATTGCCAAAGTCCCCGCCATGGGAGCTGCACCTTTTTTTTTCTTTACTAGAGTGAGGATGAGAGCATGCATCTGTGTAATCCATCCACATTCTGATGCACACTATGTAAATACTGTAACTGGATTTGCTTTTTCTCCTGACAGTATCTCACAACAATGCTTCCCCGATGCAGGGCACTCTTACGTAGCTAAAAAAACCTACTGACCCATGACACACTTCTGGTGCCACGTTAGAGAACACTTTGTAAATGAAATGTGAGTAAAATCAGAAAGGTGCTATTCCTGTAAGGAATATTTTCTGAGACTTGGGAGAAAATAAAATTCTGTACTGGAAATGAACAAAGGAAAGGGCATATTTTTCTAGACCTGTTCTAACAGCTGACAGCAATTGTAAGACGCAGCTGGTTGGTTCAGTTCCCTATGGAAAACCCTGAGAGATTCATCCTCAATGCCAAAACCTAGTCATCACTGTGTGAGTCTTGACTGGGTTTATGGTTTATTTATTTTGCATGAAACATCATGCATTATGTTTTTTTTTTAATTTTTTTGAGACAGGGTTTCACTTTGTCACCCTTAGTAGAGTGCCGTTGCATCATAGCTCATAGCAACCTCAAACAGTTGGGCTCAAATGATCCTCCTGCCTTAGCCTCCCAAGTAGCTAGGACTATAGGCACCCATCACAACACCCAGCTATTTTTAGAGAGAGGGTCTCACACTTGCTCAGGCCAGTTTCGAACTCCTGAGGTGGAGACTAGGCAATCCACCTGCCTTGACCTCCCAGAGTATTAGGATTATAGGCATGAGCCACTGCACCTAGCCTAACATCATGAATTTTAAGAACATGAATTTTCAAGATACAGATTGATAAGAAAAGTTAAATGTCACTTTTTGACAATCATGTGAATAGTATGGTACGTATTTACTTATTCAAAGTCCTTACAAGTTAAAATCCCTAGATCCACCTCTTGGGCAAACTAGAGGCCTGATAAGCAAAAGCAAAATTAATCCATGAGAACTAACCAGTTTTCTCATCCATTCTGACCACTCATTTTTATTTCACTCACACTTCTGTTGAGCTGTCTGTTCAAAGGGCTGGAAGACTGCCACGGATCACAGCCTTGCAACTTTGGTTTTTAATTTTAAATGCCAACCAGAAAAAGAGAGTTAGCATTTTGAGCAAGTGTGGAGCTACATTTGCTCAAGAGTGGCTGGCTGCTGCCTCAGATATGCAGACTGGATTCTGAAATTAAGTCTGCACATTCTCCTTGGATTCACTTTTCTATCCCATTTTTATTTCGGTTCAGCAAACTCTTGGGCTATGGATATGAAGACTGATAAGATACAACTTATTCTGATTAGGGTTCGGAGTCACAGATTAGTGTGATTAAGTCATCACCTCTTTTTGCTACACATTGAAAATGATCATTTGTTTTTTTTTTGTTTGTTTGTTTGTTTTGAGACAGAGCCTCAAGCTGTCCTCCTGGGTAGAGTGCTGTGGTATTACAGCTCACAGCAACCTCCAACTCCTGGGCTCAAGCGAGTCTCCTGCCTCCGCCTCCCAAGTAGCTGGGACCACAGGTGCCCGCCACAATGCCGGCTATTTTTTGGTTGCAGCCATCATTGTTGTTTGGCGGGTCCCGCCACCTTAGGTTTATGTGGCTGGCGCCTTAGCCGGTTGAGCTATAGGCGCCGAGCTGAAAATGATCATTTGTAATAGGTGGGAGAAAATCAAATTCGGTACTGCCAAATTAAATGAGAATGGGGGTTTCTTATATACGCCTTTCTGTACAGACAGGTATCAGCAACTACAAAATTATTTCTTAATCCTATTAAATAACATGTCCTTAGATCTATGTGATGAAGATGATAATGTCATAACATCAGCCTGGACCTAAGTTCTTGAATGGAGAGAAAACTATTCCAAACCCCAATATCATCAGTATAAGTTTTATTCACTCATTATATTTAATGCTGCTTATAAAGTTAAGTACCCTGTGTTTTCACTTATGCTGTTTCACTTAGGGGGCTGTTTGGGGGCCTCTACTTGCTTCTATCCCTCTTCTCCCTCCCCTTGAGCCTGTCTTCTCTGAAGTCCCTTTCTCTTTCCCAGTCATTTTCGGGCCACATCCTCGGAGGCTCTCTTTCTTGCCATCTCTTCTCCCGGCCCCTGTCGTGATCTCGATCTCTTGGTCTTGAGTCCCAGTGTCTTTCACGGGATCGAGATCGCTCCCTTCTTTCCCTTTTTCCCTCCCTATAAAGGTCATTTTTAACAACTGGCAAATTAATAGGTTTTCGAAAAGGCCGATCCCGTCCCCCAAATCTCAGTTGCCCAGATTCCTTTTTTCCCCCAAGACCTCCTCCAAGTCGCCGAGGGATCCACCCTTTGAGAGTCCTTTCCAGTTCATAGTCCACAAATATTTCATGCTGGTCAATAACCAGGCCATCTGCATCTCGGTAAGCTTTGATCACAGAACGCTCCTCTTTGTACTCTATGAAGGCATAACCCTTTGAAAAGCCAGTGACCAAGTCCCTCACCAGCCGAAGCCGCCGGATGTCACCATAGCGAGAAAAAACTTCCTTTAATTTGTCCTCTTTGGTCTGCAAGTTTAGTCTTGCCACAAACAGGGTGAGAAGGGGATCTCCTGTGACACCTTTGTTGGGGACATAGCGTGCCAGCATTGCCCGCCAGACAGCGCGATCATGTGGGTCTTCATCTGTGCCATCGATGCTACCAGCTTTGAGTGGATCATACTCCTTGGCGATGGGCACCCAGTCGTTCATGTTCTGAGAATGATAAGAGCAAGTGTGCATGGAATACGTCTATATCCACTCACAAACCCACTATGACCACTCATTAAACCTGCATGACAACCCCATGAAGTAGATGCTATTGTTTACCTTTTCTTAGAGACAAGGAAGGGAGGAGATACCCACTGAGGCAAAGGCCTCCCAGCTAGGAAGTTGGGGAATCTGTAGCAAAGTTAGGCAGTCAGCCTCCAGAGATGCCCTCACCCACAACTCCAAACATCCTCTCTTGGGAAGCTCAATGCAGCCTTGAACTCCTTGGCTGCAGTGAGCTTGGATTTCATCCATACAGGTATCATCTGACTTAGCTACAGCAGGGCAATGACCAAGTATATGATAACACAGCCACACAGATCAAAAACCAGGCTTTCCTTTCAGAGACTTTAAAATGACCATAGGGGGCAGTGCCTGCGGCTCAAAGGAGTAGGGCTCCGGCCCCATATGCCAGAGGTGTTGGGTTCAAACCCGCCCCAGCCAAAAACTGCAAAAAAAAAAAAAAAAAAAAAATGACCATAGGGAGGCCAGGTGCAATGGCTGTCTCAATTCTAGTGCTCTGGAAGGCCGAGGTGGGTGGGTTGCTTGAGCTCATGAGTTTGAGACCAGTCTGAGCAAGATCAAGACCCCATCTCTACTAAAAACAGAAAAACTAGCCAGGTATTGTGGCACATTCCTATAGCCCCAGCTACTCAGGAGGCTGAGGCAAGAGGATTGCTCAAGCCCAAGAGTTTGAGGTTGCTATGAGCTACGATGACACATTGCCACAGCATTCTACCCAGGACAACAGAGACTCTTTCTCAAGAAAAAAAAAAAAAAAAAGATCATAGGGAAATCAGCCTAGAACTTCTGTGGAAAGTGGCTTTTTTTAAAACTATACTACCTCTGCATTGACTCTGGTTAAATACAAAATAAAATAAGAACTATACTACCAAGAATTTCAAACATACCAATATAGAGAACCATATAGTAATCCTCCACAAAGTTCTCACCTGGCTCAACTAGGGCCAGCACACACAAGGGCAGAATAATTTGCCTTCAGATAATTCAGCATTGCGCTAAAAACCTCTGAGCCTCGGACTCTCACCATTTCCCATCACAAGAACTATTGTTAAACTACCTAGTATTGCTCCTCATTCCTTGAATGTACTCTAATTCCTCAGCTCCATGACTTTCCCAAGGTAATTTCCTCTGCTAAGAATATTATCTTTTCTGGCTCGGCGCCTGTGGCTCAAGCAGCTACGGTGCCAGCCACATACACCTAAGGTGGCGGGTTCGAATCCCCAGCCAGGGCCTGCCAAACAACAATAATGGCTGCAACAAAAAAATGGCCAGGCATTGTGGCGGGCGCCTGTGGTCCCAGCTACTTGGGAGGTTGAGGCAGGAGACTCGCTTGA